TTTTTTTTAGTTATTTTGTTGTTGTTGTCATCATTCTTAAGAATCTCTGTATGATTATTGCTAAATTGCCTCAGATGTATCAGTCTGAGTTGACCAGAGAAACAAATTCATAAATACTCATGTGTATAAGAAAGAGGTTTATATACACAAGCAATTAAATACTGAGAAAACATCCCAGCCCAGTTCAGATCAAATCCATAAGTCTGATATTAACCCAAATATCAGATACCAATCTATAAAGTCCTCTTCAGACTCACAAAACACATTCAATGATGCTGAATGCAGGGAGATCATAGGCCAGTGGGTGGAAAGTCTTGTGGATCCAGTGGCAGTGGAAGCATCTCAGCGATGGTGTAAGTCTCCATGTGGCTCCTCCAGCTCTAGGGCTCTGGCTCCATCAGGGAAGCTCCATGTGGCTTGTCAACAGGAAGGTGTAGGAGAGAGTGTGTGTCTTGCCTCCGGTGAGCTATTTAATCTCTCCAGTACCTCCAAATGAGATCATCAATCTGCAACCTGATTGATGGGCTAGACTCTACCTCTTCTTCAAATTGACAGATTATGTAACTGCCACGGGGAGTTTAAGATTGAAATGGGCTCTTGTTTGCCAGTTTTTAAAATGAGCACGTTTGTCAAAATGACCATAGATGTTTGGTAATTCTTGGCCACAGAATCAGTCATCTGTATCTGAATTGTTGCACTAGACCCATTTTCTCACTGCTTCCAAATACCAGCCTGAACGGAAGGGGGAAGCCAGCAGCAAAGAGTGGGCACCGTGAGGTTCCAGGTTCCCGTCTGCATTTCTCTGCAGGTGGTTGTAGACGCCTTGGTGGGTGCCATCCCCTCCATCATGAACGTCCTCCTGGTCTGCCTCATCTTCTGGCTCATCTTCAGCATCATGGGCGTGAACCTCTTTGCGGGCAAGTTTTGGAGATGCATCAACACCACCAACGGAGAGTTTACTCCTGTGCCCTATGCTCTGATTAACAACAAGTCTGAGTGTAAGCAGCAAAATGACACCGGCAACTTCTTCTGGGTCAACGTGAAGGTCAACTTTGATAATGTTGCCATGGGCTACCTTGCCCTTCTTCAGGTGGTAAGTCCTAAGACCAACTGCCTCTCTGCCCTTGGCTGCTGGAGAAAATGGAGGTGTCTAGGGTCGTTCAGAAGGTCCTCCGTAGAGAGTTAGTGAAAGGTAGGATGTGCTAGTCTTATAGATGACATCGTGAAGGGCCTTCCTAATGAGTTTGATCTCACAATGGCGACGTTACAAAAAAAGTGGGCTAATCCAATCACGGGCATGGGTCTGTTATGGTGTTGTATCGAGTCAAGGCTTAGTACACAGAACTTGTACAAGACAGACATGGCCAAGCCATACATTCAGCCTTCAATGTCGTATCATCTCCACATGGCAATGCATTATGTCCCAAGTCTGTTGTGATGATAGATATGATTACACTTTCATTCATTCACTCGACTCATTCGTCCCTCACCTTCATCCACTTGTTCACTCAGTCCTCTATTTCTTCAAATGGTGATAAAATCACTTGCACATGTATCATAATTTCAGAGTTATTACCAAGCACGGAGGAGCATTGTATCAGCCCTGGACAGCATAGAGACATGTCAGAGCTCATTCTCAAAATGCATGCTCTTTGAGCAGATCAGAACAGCCTTTCACGTGCTCTCACAGGCCTGGGAGTGTGATAGAGGAGACTTTGTCCAGCTCCTGCCCATGCTGGAAGACCTAATGTATCTCCAGACTTCAAGAATGCTAGACATGGACGGTTCCATGCTCCCCATTTGGAAACACCCCATTCTCATGGCATGAGCATGAGGTGCAAAATTGGTTGATATAATGGCATTCCTGTGGCAGGGAATGCCTTGATCCAGAGCACAAAGGAGCCAACAACAGTTGGAAGTCAAGGCCAGCTATCTAGGCACCAAGGCCATGCCATATTATGGATGTTGCCATGTCTAAATCAAATCATAAATGATTCTGTGAGAGTTTCCATGTCACCTGGAAGTGGAAAACTTTCCTTTCTCCCTTTCTGCCCAAGCTCTTTCTTCCTCAAGCCTCCTTAGCTGGCCTCCTCTCTCACTGGGCCATCATGACTTAGTCTGGGCCCAGTGTAGATGGATGGGCAAACACTGAGCAGCCTCTACTCCCTGTGTCTAGGCAACTTTCAAAGGCTGGATGGACATCATGTATGCGGCTGTTGATTCCCGAGAGGTAAGCGCAGAACACGGTGTCTTCCCCTTCGTGCTGCTCTGCCCACAAAGGTCTGTGTTTGAAATGGAATGGAGATGTCCATTTGCCACCAAAAGCAGTGATTCCCAACAGCTTCACGCTACCCTCCCCTGCATCAGGGCCCAGCTGCCCTCAGTTGGATAGGTAAGCCATCCTCTTCCCCTTCCATACATGCAACCCAGTCCCCTGCTCACCACTGAGCAAAGTAGCAGACACTCTTAAAGGAACAGAAGCTCCCTGGGCAAAAGTGGGAGGGGATAAGTGCCTAGGACAAAGGGAGGGAGGTTCAAGAGCATTAGACAGGACTTCAGACACTATCCTGACTGGCTGCCGGGGAGAGGCTGATACGGAAGAAGACCCTTTCTCGTGTAGCCCATACTGTTGTTGTCCTGCCTTCTGTCCCCTTGGTCTGCATCTGGGTCCACTGGCAGCTGCCACAGCTCCCTCTCATGCTACATTTCCCATTCTCTGTCTGAAGACTTCTCTTCAGCACTGGGGAACTTTCTCAGCAGCCTCGCTCCCCAACAAGGGGGTTGCATGTCTCCAGTAAGATAAGGAAGCCCGTGGAGAAAGATTCCAGCCTTCCTGTCCCTTGATGGTCTGATGAGTTTGTCCTACACTGTCCCCAGAGGCCGCAGCAGGACTGGACATAAGTTTTCCGGTGATGGCATGCACCCTAGCACCTACTTCTTCAGCTTGTCTCCTACTCTCATGTGCCCCCACTACTTTCCCATTCATACGTCCAGGGAGTCCTTCCCAAATAAATTACACACACTGCTCCCCCCGCCGCCACCATCACCACCAGTGCTTGCCTCAAAGCTGTCCTTAGAGTGAACCCAAATGAAAACACCGCCCTCTCACCTCTGGCCACAGGTGGACATGCAGCCCAAGTGGGAAGACAACTTGTACATGTACTTCTACTTCGTCATCTTCATCATTTTTGGCGGCTTCTTCACACTGAACCTCTTTGTTGGAGTCATCATCGATAACTTCAATCAACAAAAGAAAAAGATAAGTGGGGCTTGGGTGCTTCTGCTGAACAGGGTGAGCTCAGAACTCCTTACCCTTTCGGGTCAACAGTGTCCAGTGGCCCTGCCCTAATAGCTAAAGCCAGCGCTGCACATAATCTTTCACACATGGCAGGGGGCCCAATGTTGGCCCTTGACACCAAACATCAACCTTTGTTCCCTGATGGCAGTCCTCACCCCTGCTTGGTGTCTGGGGCTGCTGCTGGAAGCGTTAGGTTTCTCTCGAAGTCAGACTCACCCCACCCCTCCTTCCCATTCCTCGTCCTGTGTAGAAGTGGGTGTGTTGTATTCCAGGTGATCCAGGGGTGAATCCCAACAGATAAGGAAAGAGCTCGGGCACTTACTGTGTCTGTCCCATGCCCGAGCCTCAAACACTGAATCAGAGCACATCAGGGAAAACCAGGCCCCAGTGATGTCAGAACCCCAGCCCTCCTCAGCATGGGGAGGAAGATTCTTGCCTCCATGGTCTCTGATTCAGATGAACAAAAGAACAGTGCCAGTCATCACTCCTGTGTATGTGGGAAGATCCACAGTATTTGCTCTGGGTGGCACCGATAGGTAAGTACTGTGTTACTGACAGAAAGGTTGGCAGTGTGAAGTCGTCCAGCAGTGCCTCTGAAGGGAGACTGGCAAACTGCTTCCAAAAGAACATGGCCATCGAACGGTCTAAGGAGCACAGTTCTGAGACACCTGGGGCCGCCGAGATGCTCTCTGCAGAGACTGGTTGACTTTTTGGCTTGCTTTGTCTCATACTGTGAGGTGGGTGAGCCAAGATCCAGAGTAAAGGGGGCCCCCGGGCGCTCCACTTTGTTTCATTTTGTTTGTTTTCCTAGTTGAGTTTGCTGCTGTTGAAGTTTTTTAAAAGTTTTCTTGGCACATCATTACACATACCATATGATTCAATAGTTCGATCATATCAAGAAAAGTTGTGCAATCATTACCACAGCCAATTTTAGAACATTTTCTTCTTCCTTGCACTCATTGCTATTAGCAGAATTTTGTTTTTTATGAATGGTGGCCAAGATATACACACACAAAAAAATGTTCTCTAATTCAACAACTCCGACATGTATAATTTAGAGCCTTTGATTATGGTCTTTGTGTGGTGCAACCATGATTGATCTTTTTCCAAATTATTCCACCACCATTAACATAAACTGAATGGCGCCTCAGCAAAAACTCTTCCTCCTTCACCCATGGGTCAACTTTGGTTCCTTCTTCTTTCTTTAAGTAGTTTCCCTGATATAAAATTCACATAGCACACACTTCCATAGTTAGGTTGCTTTTAAAAAGTGTTGCATATACATCCTCACAACCAGTTGTAGTGCTCCCCCCTCCCTCTCGCATTCATGGTTTAGGAACTCGGTTTTGGCATCATATAAGCGTGGGTCCACACTTTTGATTCAACCACTCAAAGCCTTAGTTTTCTCACTTATTCAATAAAGCTAAAATAATAATTAGGCTAATAAAACCTCACAGAATTGTGATAAGAGGGAAATAAAACCATACAAAGCATACTTAATGTAGGGTTGAGCACAGAGCAGGCACTAAATTCAAATGTTATTATTACAACTAGGATCATATACCCAGTGGATCAGATACCACACCTGTGAGAAGTATTTGGCCACAGTTATGGGACAGAGAAGCAGTCAGGACAGACCTCTGGGAACCTAGAGGGACTCGCTGAGACAGCTATGCCAACAGTTACCCCAGAGGGCTTTGAGATCATTCTGAGCAACCTATTCCCCCATTTTACAAACAAGGAAGCTTAGGCCCAGCGAGGGAGGGAGCCATGGGAAGTGATCGAATTAGATGAGCCAGTGATCAAGCTGAGACAAGAAACGGGATCTACTCACTCTCTGGCTAGAACTCTCAGTCTGGCTCACGAGGGAGGCATCCACAAACTCACTGCCACCGGCCCGCCCAGACCTCCTCTGCAGAAAGCCGTGGTGCCCATGACTTTCCTAAAGCCTTCTCTCAAACCCCACAGATCTCAGCCCACTTTCCAGGATCCTCAGGGACTAATGTACATGAACATGCTATGGAAATAAGGGGGGGGGCCCAAATTATTCCAGGAAGTTGAGGTGAGGGGTTGAATAAAAGCGATCCAAAGAGCCTCTGAAAGAAAACCCCCAATTCTAAGGAAGGATGATGTCTGGCATTGTATCAGAAGCCCTGGTGGCATACGGGGTTACATGTTGGGACACTAACCACAAGGTCAGCAGTTCAAAACCATCAGTCCCTCTGCAGGAGAAAGCCGAGACTTTCTGCTTTCATAAAGAGTTATAGTCTCGAAAACCCACAGGGGTAGTTCTACCCTGTCCTATAAGCTTGCTACTGACTCAATGGCAGTGAGTGCTGGGATTGGGTATCATCACAGTGTGCTGAATTAAAGGAACCAATTGAAAGTCCCTCAAAGATCAAGGACCCAAAGGTAAGGCGATATAATATAATAATATGAGTACAACTTATTCTAATAGCTCCAAAAGGACTTAAAGGATTGGGACCCAGAGCCTTTGCTCTAGAAAGCCTTGAAGAAGCTCTTGCCCCTCCAGGGATGGTGACGCTAGAAGCTAGTTAATTTGACTGGGATGAATAAACACATTGGCTCAGGTTCAGATCTATGCCTATGACCTCCTCCTTGAGGCATGCTCCCGAAGCCTCCCCACCCACCCAGACCCTATCTCTGAGTTCTTGATGAAGAGAAATGGGCTTTGCTCCAAAGACCCAGGCAGAGACTCAGAGACAGGGTTCAAATTCATCTCCTTGATGATTATGAAACGTGTGCAGGATGCTCTGGGATCCTGGCCTTGGCCCATCTTTCTGCAAAAGAGGGGAGAGGGTTGAAATGGTTCTCCTCCTCCAGGGTCCTCTGCTTCTGGTGTTTCTTGGGACCTTTGCCGTTTTAACGACAAGAATGTGTGTTGTGCTGTCTCTGCACTTAGGGGGCCAGGACATCTTCATGACGGAGGAGCAGAAGAAGTACTACAACGCGATGAAGAAGCTGGGCTCCAAGAAGCCCCAGAAGCCCATCCCACGGCCCCTGGTGAGTTTCAGCTCTTCCTTTGAGCCGAACAAGGCCATGAATCCCACCTCCCAGCGTTGTGCCTGCGCCTGTGCTGTGGAAGGGCCTGGCCGGGCTCTTGCGAGGGAGGTGATCTGACTGGGCCGGGGGATGAGGGAGATGATTGTGCCCAGGCTTGAGAAATGAGGCAATTTTCCGGAGGAATAAGCCTCTTATAAGTCCTCCAAATAAACCCATTAGGGTCAGTACTGAGTCCCTCGGCCGTCTTAGGGTTCACAAAGAAGAAGGTCAGCAGAACAAGCTAAATGACAATGAGGGTTCTTAGAGCCCAGAGATGAAACACTTGTGTGGTTTGGGGTCATGAGCTACATTGCAGACGTTCTTCAGCCTCCCCCTACATCCCACCCCATCCTTACAGGAAGACAGAGAGGAAATGGCCACAACTCAACCCCCTGAGAATCAGACTCCACTCATGGTCATGGCCAGGTCACTCAATAGGAATGAATACTTATTCCCCTCCAGACTTTGAAGTGTGGCCAGAAATTAGGGTCTGACTCTTTTGCTCAAAGACCCTAAGAAAAAGTCCCTGCCCTTTTATTCCTCCATTAAATGCAGAACCCAGACCATACACGATACTCCCAAGTTCTTCTCAATTCTGTCAGAAAAGGGAGCATTGAACCTCCTGGTGATCCCAAGATGGTACCCCTGTTGGGTGTGGATGAGCAGGTTTGAGGCTGGTAGTGTTGGAATGCTAGGAGTGGACAGCTGGATTTCTGCAAGGAGTGTCTGAGCCATCCACTCCGGTCAAAGGAATTAGCATCTTGTCTCTTTATGTAACTGTTCTATGTCTAAGACGTAGCATGAATGTAGAAAACCACAGGCACTTCTCATTAGCCCTTGCCCACACAAGGACAAAGCTCAAAGACATTCAACAAAGCGATAGGCCTTCCCCTAAAGGAATTAGACAGACATTATCCCATTGACCAAGGCATTGTTGTTATTGTTGTTCTTAGTTACGGTGGTTGGTTAACTCTGACTCATGGGGTTTCTAAATCAGGGCAGGCTATTTGCATAAATACCCCCAAACTTGGTGAGCACGGAAGCCTGAAAACTTACTGAAGGAAAATAAAGCCATGACCTTGGGACACTATACTTGGAAGCAGAGGTCATGAATGTATAATGTCGTCATTGATTTAGATAAGAAGTATTACAATGTGGAGTGATGGGTGCTCAGACTTCTAAGGCTGGGCCCAACCAATGAGATTTAAGTCAAAAGCTCTAAGAGGAGGATCCAAAAATGTACCAAGAAACAAACAACTGAGTCCGTGGCTGGACTCATGGCAAGTATGCATTGAAACCAGACATTGAGAATTTGGGCTCAGAACTTAAACCCTGTAGAGCAGCCCTTCATCGAATGCTGAAGGTTTGGGGGACAACTTCTCACACCCACCACTCCGTCTCTCTGTAATATCCAGTTTCTCCCCTACCTATCCCTCAAGCAGGCGGCCGAAATGTCCTCCACTTGAGACCAATCTCCCCAGAACAGGTGAGCTGCAGCTCACAAAGGGATCCGGAAGAGCACACTAAGTATGGACCCAACGTTGGGATTGCCGTCGTGGCCCTTGAAGTCAGTTGTCCCTGCAACAAGATCATCATCTCTCCCAATGAAACCACAACCAAGATCCCTCAGGCTTGGCACTGAGGGAGGGGAAGTGAAGCATCCTAGTCCAACTCTATTCCTGAGATTCACCGTCTCTCTGAGTGGGGCGGGGGGAGTATTGTGAATAACTATGAGCACTCCACTGACCTTAATGGAAGAACATGGTTCACCCCTTTACGACTCAGGCCCAAGAATAGAAAAGACACTTCCCTTTGTTCCCCTTGGCTTAGGCCAGGGTATTAGCAAGCCTTTGAAAGTCTTCCGGATGCCATCAAGGTAGCCAGCAGAGCAGGTCACAAGCAGCAGCTACACAGGGCTGCTCTCCAAGGCCCGAAGTCTTGGCCCATCTTCACTCTCCATTGACATCTATGCGGCCTCGTGGGCCCTCATAAGTCAGTGGCACAAGCCTGGAAATCTCTCCTCAAAGCCCAGGGCCAAGAAGAAACTCAAGGGAAAAGAGAAGTTTCCCCTTCTACCTAAGACTTACCTTCCCAGCATCCTTTTCAGCACACGTTTGGCTCCAGAATGCTCACCTCTTCCACTTGGTGGTGTTATTTGTTAGAATGCTGCTGGGCCCATTTCAGCTCATAACCACCGGTTATACAACAGAATGAAGGCCTGCCCAGTCCCGGGTCGTTTTCATCACTGGCACATTGGAGCGCACTGCTGCAGCCCCGGTGTCTGTCTGTCTGTCTGTCTTCTCAAGGATCTTCCTCTGTTACACTGCCCTTCCACTTTACCAGGAGCCTTGGTGGCACAGTGGTTACGAGTTGGGCTGCTAACTGCAAGGTCAGCAGTTCAAAACCACCAGCCACTCTCAGGAGAAAGACTTTCTACTCCTGCAAAGAGTTACAATTCAGGTGCAGCTATGGTGGCACTGGGGGGTAAGCCTTAGACGGCTAACTTCTAGGTTAGTGGTTCAAACCCACCAGCCACTCCTCAAAAGAATGATGAAGCTATCTATTCCCATAAAGATTGACAGCCCCCAGAAAAACTTTATAGAGCTGCTATGAGTCAGAATAAACACGATAAGCTTGTGGCCTTCCTTATTCGTTGTCTCATTTTCACATGCATGTGAGGCAAAGGAACGGCCCGTGGCTTGAGCCAGCCACATCTTAGTCTTCAAAGTGATATCTTTGCTCTGGAACACTTTAAAGAGCTCTTTGGCGGCATGTTTTTCCAATGTAATATGTCCTTTGATTCATTAAGCGCTGCTTCCATGGGATCCACCCAATGGCAGGGAGGTGGTTGTGCGTGTTGAAGCTTCCCTGGCATTGATTATGGATCCAAGGAAAATTACATACTTGACGTCTTCAATATTGTCTCCATTTCTCTTGCTGTTGTTCATTGATCCCATGGTGAGGAATTTTTTTCCATGTTGCATTGTAACCTACATGGAAAGGTCTAGTCTTGCTCGTCATTAGTAAGTTTGTTTCACATTCAGCAAGCAAGGTTGTGTCATGTGTATATCAAAGGTTGTTAAGGGGGCGCCCTCCAATTCTGGTGCCTAGTTCTTCATATAATTCAGCTTCTCAAATTATGTGCTGAGCATATGGATTTAAGGCTACAACCCTGAGACACACCTTTCCTGAATTTAGCCATTGAGTAGCCTCTTATTCTTTTGGCCTATGTACAGGTTCTGTGTGAGCACAATGAAGTGTTCTGGAATTCCCATTCTTTGTAATGCGATCCATAGTCTCATAATCCGTACAGTTAAATGCTTGTACATAGGCAGTTAAACACAAATAGACATCTGTCTGGTACTCACTGCTTTCAGTCAAAATCCACCAAACCTTATATCCCTTTTCCTCATCCTCTTGTGAATCTGGCTTGATTTTCTGGAAGCTCCCAGTTGATGTAATGCTACAACCATTTTTCCATTCTCTTAAGAAAAATGATACTTGTATGTGATATTAATGGTATATTTGATCATTTCTGTATCACCTTGCTTTGGAATTGGCACTATTTCCTTCTTTGTCACCGGTTCTTATTCTGGAAGTTCTGTTGAAACCAGTGGCATACCATCAACATCCAGCAACACCCAAGCCATAGAGTACAGCAACCTGAGAGAAGAATAATGATGTGCCATTAGTAGGGGGCAATGACTCAGGGGAGGGCAGGGGAGAGCATCTGGTGACCTGTTAATAATTCATTTCTTGGTCTGTGTGCTGGCAGTGCGGACTCTTCACTCTGTGAAATTCATTGAGTTTCACCTTCATGAATAGCATCCTTTTCTTTTTCTTTCTTTTTTTTAAATAAAGCATTTTATTAGGGGCTATTACAGCTCTCATCACAATCCATACAGATATCCATTGTGTCAAGCACATTTGTACATAAGTTGCCATCATTTTCAAAACATTTTCTTTCTACTTGAGCCCTTGGTATCAGCTCCTCATTTTTTCCCTCCCTTCCTAATGAATCGATGATAATTTATAGTTTATTTCATGTCTTACACCGACCATTGTCTCCTTTCACCCCCTTTTCTGTTGCTCGTCACCCCCCCCCCAGGGGGTGTTATATGTTGATCATTGTGATCAGTTGCCCTTTTCTCCCCCAACTTTTGAAAAGTATACTTTTCTGTATGAAAATTTACTTCTGTAAAACATATTTTTTTTAAAAAGCATATACTGTCTGTATATCAAGAGGCTCTGGAGGCATTCTGCTCCCATAAAGATTTACAACCTCAGAAAACCAATGGAAGACTTCTCCTTGGCCCGCTGGGATCAAGGGGAGTTGGGGTCAACTTGATAACAGTGAGTTTTTGAGGTAGATTTAGTCATATTATTTTAACAGGTGAGAAAAGGCCAGGGCCTGGAGAACAGTGGGAGGAGCCAGTGCTTTCTGTATCCTGTGGTCAAATGACCTGGTCCACGTGTCTGTTTGGAAACTGATTGTGGTAGCAATTGTACAATTCTATTGACGTGACTGAACTATGGAATGATATGTGTATTAAATCCTAATTAATAATATTTTTTAACAGGAAAGGAAGATTCGTACAATTATCACCACCATCAGTTTTTAGAACATTTTCTTCATTCTTTGCCCACAACTCTTTCAAGAAATTTAGCTGTGACTGGGAGGAGAGAAAGGGGGTCATGGCTGGGGAGAAACATGAAGTGCAGGAAGATGTCACTTGAAGTTGAGGGAGCAAAGTGGTCATTAGAGATTTAGCAAAGGAGCTGGGAGATAAAGTCACCCACGTGAATATGAAAGGTGTTTAGGGTAATGGACAAGTGCCACGCATGTCAGTAATGAAGCAGAACCATCAGATCAGTGGATGGCAGCAAGAAGGGGGGGGGGAGCAGGCTACTCGGTAGCACAAGACTAAGTGAAAGGGGAGTTTTTCAAGTCACAGGAAGAACAGAGGTCTAGAAGTGTTAGAGAAACAAGAAGGACCTTGAGTCTGCTCTCCATCCCTGATGTACGCGAGATGGAGGAAAGGAGAAGCCCTGGGATGAGATGCCCGTAGATCACAGCAGTGAGCACGGCATAGTGCTCCAGAGAAGGACTGAGAAGAAGGTGAGGGTGGAGAAGGTGTTGTGTTCATGGGCATACAGAGCATTAAGATGTTAATTAAATGGAAAAGGGAACTTTTTTCAAAACATCATAAAGCAACTAGATATAAACGATCCCTTGCTTACCTAGGCCACAGTGCAAACCTCCAAGAATGTTCATGGCCAAGACCTGACCTCACGCTCTGTGCCTGCCTTTGCTTGGGCATGTGAGGCTCTATGAATCAAAAGAGAACATTCCCAGGAAGGGGTTACACAATTCCTTTACTTGCACTTCAGAACAGGGGTCCAAAGCAATAATTTTGCATTTCTTCAGACTAGTGGACTTCTTGCTATGTGCTGGGTACCACATCGTCTAATAGAGAGGAAAAGACGTATTCATAAAAGATTTATACTCAGAACTGAGTCTTTCAAGGCTGGAGGTGCTCAAAGAAGGGGCAGAGCCATGTGATGTGCGGTGATGAAGGAAAACTGCCTGGGGAAAGTGGTACTTGAGAGATGGATAAGGCAAAGACATTGGACTTGAGAAAGCCAACTTCAGAGGGGACTGGCAGAGCATTGCAAATGCAGGGAGGGGCAGGGACAATGGCAAAAATGCAGTGACTTGACGGGACTGGGAGATGTGCTGAAGACTGGAAATTAAGAAAGCTGAGATCAAACAGCGTGTAGACCAAGGACATAAAATCAACTAAAGATAAAATTTTGAAAGCAGTGAGGGCAGGGCAGGGCTTTTGTCGGGGTGTGTGGGGAGTGGGAGAAAAGAAACTCAGAACTCATTCATAGAACACAGTCTTTCCAGGTGTCTGATATCTGTTGACCCCGAGGCCCTGATACCGCCGTCTTCTGTTTTCTCAGAACAAATACCAAGGCTTCGTCTTTGACATTGTGACAAAACAAGCTTTTGACATCACCATCATGGTCCTCATCTGCCTCAACATGATCTCCATGATGATAGAGACTGATGATCAGAGTGAAGAAAAGACCAAAGTCCTCAACAAGATCAACCAGTTCTTCGTGGCTGTCTTCACGGGGGAGTGTCTCATGAAGATGTTCGCCCTGAGACAATACTACTTCACCAATGGCTGGAATGTGTTTGACTTCATTGTCGTGGTTCTGTCCATTGCAAGTAAGTGGACAACACACAGGGGAGGAGGCCAGGCTCCGCTTTGGATTCTATGTATAGGATTTTCTTTTCAAAACTAACTTTCGAACTGCATGGCCTATGTTGGAGGCGCACCATGTCTGCTGTTGCCCAAGAGCAGCTGATTTAAAATTCACAGGACTGCTCTCTCAATGAAAGAGCTCCCGTTGGGCTTGACTGTGCGTTCAGGCACCTACTGTGGGTACTACCTTGGAGACCAACAGAAAATAATCACTCTTCCAAAGGCCCGAAGAGTATAAAATAGTGAAGCTTCCAGTGGGTCTTGCCTCATATGCTTCCAAATAGAGGGTAGGAGAAATGATAGAAGTTGAATTTTAAAAGACTTTCTGGAAAAGGAAGTCATGTTCCAGTAGAGTGGGAAAAGATTAGAAGATTGTTCAAACCATTATTAATTTGAGGGTCTAGGGTCAAATCTCAGGAGCCCTGGGAGCATAGTGGTTACGTGTTGGACTGCTGACAGAAAAGTCAGTAGTTCAAAGCCACTAGGCACTCTGCGGGTGGAAGACAGGGTTTTCTATTCCTGTAAAGAATTACAGTCCTGAAAACACGCAGGGGCAACTCTACCCGGTCCTACAGGGTCACTAAGAGTCGGAATCGAGTAAGCGTCATATTTCTAGCTGTCCGCTTATGGAATATGAGTGTTATCCAAGACCATGGGCCAGTGCCAAGAGAGCAGTGCTATGACACCTTAGGCTGAGTGTGGTTGAGTGAGAAACTCAGTTTTGGGGGGTCAATGGTATCCAGAGAAAATCAAGAGAGACACACTCTTGCGGGGAATGGAGCTGCCACAATTGAGTACTTATTGAGCTTTGAGGACTTCTCAGAGCTCTGTGAAGCCTCACAGCCACCCAGTAAAAAAAGGTTTATCCTCACTTTATACATTTAAAGCTGAGCTGCAGATAAATTAAGAAAACTGGGATCAAACAGCTTGCAGATAAAACTATGTTCTTCCAGTGACTTGCTGGCACCCATGGACAAGCAAGTAACTGCAATGACTTCTTCAGTTTAGCTGAAGTTTGACCTTATAAAAGTGAGCTCCAAACTCATCAGTTTCATTTCACATGTTAAACAGATCCTGAGCTTTTAGACAAGGGCGTTTCCAAAAGTTCATGGAAGAGTTGAATTTTAATGGAATTTGTCCGTGGACTTGCGAAAAACTCCTTGTATCCTGGCTTGCTTAGTTTTCCTTCTGGGCTTACCTATAGATTTCATTTTCCATTGATTTAACACCAAGCGCTAATAGCACCCAACTACAGCTGGGCAGTATTGAATCAACCTCTGTATCCTGATATTGGACGTCAGCCTTCAGTTCTGTTGCTTTATTTGTGTTGGGGTGGAGGAGAAATTTTCTTTTCTTTTCTTTTTTTGGCTTTGTTTGTCTTCCTTGTTACTGGTTATGCCTTCCAAGCGAGAGACTCTAAAGGCCATTTGGGTTTTATCTTAGAGAAGGGAGCTGGCTTATGTGACTTTTCATCTCAGGAATATAAAAATAGAAGCGTAGCCAAAGCACTTAATTCTATGATGGGGACAATCTAAATATCAGCCCCCCAAGATTTACGCACAACACCGTCCACTGGGCAGACCACACATATAGAGACATCTATGAGCGATCTTGCTCATGGGACTCACCTGTCCATCCTGCTGTCCTTCCTTCTCCCCAACATTTCTTCCCTAAGGAAAACAGGTAGTAGGGATCTAATTATTACAAGCGTGAGGACTCATTCTCCCTTGAAGTAGGGTACATGGTAGAAAATATAGAGATATTTAATGTACCATGCCATATTTGAAAATGCCCCTATTAAACTGTACTTTAAGATAGGGGGGCTTAGTAAAATTTATAAGCTCAACAACTAGAGTGGTCTCCCAAGTCTCTTCCAAATACCTTCCACCTTCTAACACAATCTGTGACTACCTAAATATTCAATATGCAAAATGGAAGGGAAGTAAGGGGGAGGAGCTCGAATGCTCTTTGCCAGGAAAGAGCGCATGCTACTGTTCCCCTAACCATTTGTCCTGAGAGATTTTGAACCCTATCTGATCCGAAGGCCTTACATCAACCTTTGGTAGTCTCAAGAGGCCTCGGTGGTTCCCTAAGACCAAGCTTCACAAATCTTCAAGCTAGCCACTATGTAGGGAGCTGTTTACCTTCTTCATCTTCCCAACCTTGTTCATAGTTGGGGCAGCGGGGCTGTAACTGACCCTAAACAAACCCATCTCCAGGCACTGGCATAGCGTTCAAACACAGCTGGAAATGAAAGAAACAAATATAAGCCATTATGCAGGCAGCTGGCCACTCAAAGCCATCCTGCCTTAGCTGTCAGCAAGTTCCCTGACTCCTCAGGCCCCCTTATAATTAATACCAGGCTCTGTACAATTAATCACAAGACTACGTGCCAGGAACTGAGTCAATCTTCTCAGTAGGAAATAGGGAGATGAATCATAGGGGGTCCTGGGCCTCACAGAACCCAAGACCAGAATGGAAGGAAAGGCATGCCCCAAAGGCTAGACTCCCAGGGACAACCAGCAGGATCAGTGTCCTTCATTAAAAACAGACAAACACTGTGAGCATGTGGAACGGAAGGCTATCAACATGGAGAATGACTAAAAAGAAAACATTTCAGGTACAGAGAAAAAACAAGAAGAACATGGGAGGAAGGATGAAACATAGCTGAGGGAGAATTTGTGAAGTGAACATATGCCCTCTTTGGGGCCAATGGCCATGCCGGGTTCAGAAGGCCCAGAGTGGTTGAACGGGGATGCTTCGGTGGCAACGGCAGAAAGAAATGGATATGACATCCCAGCCCACTTTGTCAGACCTCGTGACTGGCCGCACTAACTATGTTATGTCTCCTCTCTTTGAAAGGCCTGGTGGTTTCTACAATCGTCAAGTCATTTGAAAGTTACTTCTCGCCCACGCTCTTACGAGTCATCCGGCTGGCCCGCATCGGCCGCATCCTCAGGCTGATCCGAGCGGCCAAGGGGATCCGGACGCTGCTCTTCGCCCTCATGATGTCCCTGCCGGCGCTCTTCAACATCGGCCTGCTCCTCTTCCTCGTCATGTTCATCTACTCCATCTTCGGCATGGCCAACTTCCCCTACGTCAAGTGGGAGGCGGGCATCGACGACATGTTCAACTTCCAGACCTTCGCCAACAGCATGCTGTGCCTCTTCCAGATCACCACGTCGGCGGGCTGGGACGGCCTGCTCAGCCCCATCCTCAACACAGGGCCCCCCTTCTGCGACCCCAACCTGCCCAACAACAACAGCTCCCGGGGGAACTGTGGGAGCCCGGCGGTGGGCATCATCTTCTTCACCACCTACCTCATCATCTCCTTCCTCATCGTGGTCAACATGTACATCGCAGTGATTCTGGAGAACTTCAATGTCGCCACGGAGGAGAGCACCGAGCCCCTGAGCGAGGACGACTTCGACATGTTCTACGAGACCTGGGAGAGGTTTGACCCAGAGGCCACCCAGTTCATTACCTTTTCTGCCCTCTCTGATTTTGCAGACACCCTCTCGGGCCCTCTACGAATCCCCAAACCTAATCGGAATACATTAATCCAGATGGATCTGCCCCTGGTCCCTGGAGACAAGATCCACTGTTTGGATATCCTCTTTGCCTTCACCAAGAATGTCCTGGGAGAATCTGGGGAGCTGGATTCTCTGAAGGCGAATATGGAAGAGAAGTTTATGGCAACAAATCTTTCAAAGGCGTCCTACGAGCCAATAGCGAACACCCTGCGGTGGAAGCAAGAAGATATTTCAGCTACCGTCATCCAAAAGGCCTATCGCTGCTACATGCTCCATCGTGCTATGATCATCTCCGACCCCTCGAGGGTGCCGCGGGCTGAAGAGGAGGCTGTGACACCCGCAGACGAAGGCTTTGTTGCCTTCCTGGAGAATGACGATGGTATGCTCCCAGACAAATCTGCATCTACATCTGCCACGTCCTTCCCACCATCTTACGACAGTGTCACTAGAGGCCTGAGTGACAAAGCCCACCTGAGCACATCTAACTCCATGCAAAAGGAGGATGAAGCCATCAGTCAAGACGAACCTGCCCTGGGGCCCCAGTGAAGACGGTCAGCCTGAACATGCACCATTCCGGGGTATCTTGCTGATCTCTGGCAGTTTTTTCCCATCCCACATGGCCTCTCCTGTCTACCACCTCACCGATGCATGCCACTGGTCACAGTGTCAGAACTGGCAAGGTACTGCAGGTGGTGCCCACCTTGGAAGATGCCCCCATACGTCAACAGGAATCATAACCAAGAACATCTCCACTGGCCTTGGCCTTTGAATCTCACTATCAGATGGTGATTTCCATGACTTCCCCAAACACTTCCCTGGTCCTTTTATTGTGGTTGTGGCCAGAGCTTGCATTTACCCGGACCAACTTCCCAGGACCAGAACTTCCAGGGTTATACCTATGGTTAGGATGTCATTGACGGTCCCAACTGATCCTCTATGTGAATACTACATAGAAATTGGCAATGTTATTTAGGATTTTGCATGACTGCATGCTGAGGGCTTCCAGAAAACCACTCCGGCCAAGAGTGACACTCGTGGTCAAGCTCATGAACGCCCTTTGAGATCTATCCATTAAAGCTAATATTTTTAAAGGTATCTCAAGACTAATGTTCTATCTGAAAACACCGTTGCACTTTCTTAATTATGTGATACAGTATGTATCATGAGTCACTTTTCCTCCTGATCTTTTGCAGTTTGGCCCTAGGTAGAGCGGGAATAGGAAGGAACCGTGTGCTAGGAACTGGAGGACTGGATTCTAATTCTAACTCTTCCTGTGATTTCCTGGCTGATGTTGGTCCAAGCGCTTACGTCTCTTCATCTTAATTTTCCCACTTCTAAAGTTGGTCGGGGGCAGTGTGGATGCTCTCTATAGCCCTTGCATCACATGCGGTAGAATTCAGTGATGCTCCGCAATGGGCTACCCTTCCATTTATGTCGTTGAAGAGGCGGTATTCATATGCTTTCCAGAGTCTCTGTCGCGCCCAGCCAGACTTTCAGAAAGAGCGTTTCCACATTGCCCTTGGACCAGGCCTCTATAACTCACAAAGTCAAAAGTAAAAAGACTCTTGAGAAAGATAATCTGGAAGATAAGATGTGTGGCCAATAGTTTCCTTAGCTCACCTAGCAAATGTTCATGGTTGCTGTGGTTGTGATGTATCGTTCAGTCCTTTCCAACTCATAGGGCCTCCATGTGACACTTTTCTAGGCTGTAAGACTTCCAGAGGCAGCACACCAGGTCTTTATTCTGTGACGCTGCTGGGTGGATTCAAGCCACCAGTTTTTAGGGTAGCAGCCAAATGATTAACCTTGGTCCTACCCTACCAGAGTTCCTCCAAATATTCTTAAACACATAACAAAGATATGCTTCTAAAGACCCATTCAACTTAATGCTGTGTATGGGACCAGCATGCTCAGAGAAGAGTATTGAACGCCAAAGGCAGAGGGCAAATGAAATGAAGGAGAGTATGAAGTTCACATGGCTAAACATAGGACAGAAATTACCATAATGATAGCTGTGATCATTTATTATTTCTTTGACTATTCCCAATATCCAAAAATCCAATCACCAATAGACGGTCAGTGTGTTGCATACAATCAATCGCTTCATAATCGTTCCCGCTTATACCGTTACAAAACCCAGAAGCTGATCCATCTTATAGGCCTTGGCTTTTCTGGAGCCTCGTTCACCTTTTTTGGTCACGGTGTATCAGAGGCCAAAGAGGCTTTCAAAATGCCTGTTGGGATCTGCCAGCACTCACGGATCATCAAGCTAGGAAGATGATAAGATGGCTGAAGGCACAGACCAACCCAACCCAGATCAGCTAGTCTCGGGGTGCCTGGTTTGTATCCAGTGATGTGTTGACCAAAATGACGGTCCCTCCCTAGTTTCACTCAATCAGAGAGTACAGATACGGTGCAGTTTCTCCAACATCTAAATCCCATGGCATCATTGAAAACGAACAACTGAGAGATGATAGCCCAAGTGTTTCTTAGACAGCTGGCTGGGTAGAGAGCTTTTAAAATGTGAGGTGGAAGAATTAAATGTACCCTATTATCAGGCTGATTCGTCTTTGAAGGTATTCTTCTCACACCTTGTATCTCATCCCTGCCCCCCCCCCCCAGGTACATTTCCCAGATTATAATAGGAACCACTGAAAAATGTCATCTAGAATTTTGGCTTTCACAGAATTTTCAGAAATGCGTGCAAAGGAAATATGATTCCAAAAGCTCAGACCAAACTCACTGTCATCGAGTCAATGCTGATCCAAAGTAACTTCCCCTGTGAGTTTCCAAAACTAGAGCTTTTTACTGGAATAGAACACCCCATCTTTCACTCTCAGAGCAGATGGTGGTCTCAAACTGCAGATCTTAAAGTTAGCGAAAGTGGGCCGGGAAAACTTCGCTAGACACAGTTCCAAAGTTCAACTGGTGGCCCAATTATGCGATAGAAATTACACTTCTAGGCTCCCTTTTCAACCTCAACCATAGGAGATAGTATTAGATTGTCTCTTACCGAGAATATCGTGGGGCTGAAGAACAAGGTTTTTTGGGGGTTTTAAATTTGCCTCTACCATATTCTATCCTGACTTTTCATAATATTCAACTGTGTAGCATGCAGACATAGGTAGCCAAGATCATTCAGGAACATTCAGCTACCACAAACGGGTAGGTATAGGCCAGAGTTTTGTGTACAATACCATTTGCCTTAAGATGAAGGTGAAGGCACTTTCCTAACTCCTGGAGATGCAAAATGAGTCAGGTAGACCTTGAGCCTGAAGCTGAATGCACAACCCACAGAGCGACTGGAACTATACCTGTTAAATAAAACGGGGGGGAAAGCAGCAATTCTAAAGTTTTCGGTTGTGACAGGAGTCTAAGTCCTGTTTCAAACAATTAAAATGCCAGATACACACCAGACATTAAAATCGGGGACACTGACACACGGTCATTGGAAGAAGGCAAATAAGGGAAGAGTTTTATCTTAGAAATACCTCAAGTGAGAGGTTTTTGCAAACAGGAATTTACTCACTCACCGTTTAGGAGGCTAGAAGTTCAAATTCAGAGCACCAGCTCCAGGGGAAGGCTTCCTCACTGTGTCAGCTCTGGGGGAAGGTCCTTGTTAACAGTCTTTCTTTGGTGCTAGGAATTTCTCCGTGCAGGGACACCAGGTCCAAAGGACATGCTCCACTTTCTCTGCCCTTCTTTCTTGGTGGTAGGTAGTAAGCCCGTCCCTGCTCACTTTTCTCTCCTTCTGTCTTTTTGAAGCTAAACGATGATGTAGTTCACACCCAAGGGAAACTCCTTTTATATCAGATCATGGCTGTGATGGATTAAGGGGCTTTCATTCCATCAGAGCAGGGTTGATCACATTCGATCACATCATGGGAGATGATTTTATCATTCCATTACATAACTTCCGACCCACTAAAATCATGGAGCCATCAGTTTGACATGCGTTTTAGGACACAATTCAATTCGACCCCATGATAAATTAATAAAATCATGATCATAGTCAATTCTGGTACACAGCAACCCCACAGGACATAGTAGACCTGTCCCTTTGAGTTTCCGAAGCTATAAATCTTTACAGGAGCAAAGACTTCTCCTCAGGAGGGGCTGGTGGGTGTGAACCATGATTATCAGCCCAGTACATAACCCACTACACTACCAGGGCTCCTTCTTCAATCCAAGACAGGTTCTGAAGCTTTATTATTCAAGAGGAGTGCCAGGTTTTTTTTTAATTATTATTAGACTTTGGTAAATTAGAATTGAATAACATCATTCTTAAAGTTATTTATAAGTGAACAAAAACCGAGTTGACCATTCCCCAACCAGGAAAAGGGAAATACGCTAAGAAACAATTATTAATCTGAAAAGTAGATAATGATGAATTAGCAGATGTGTTGTAGATGAGAGGATTTCAAAAATTTCATGGAGAGGAGAATTGTATTAAGAGATAATGGAATGCTTCCACAAACTTTTTGATACTTCTTCTTTTATGTTTTACAACAATAACAAAGTGAGATAGGAAAGAGGAGAAGAGAAAACTACAGAGCAAGAGAGCTACGTAGTAAAGAAAAAGTTATGTATATATTTAAACACATATACATCAGAATTTATATTAAGTGTCAATTATCTAAATGCTTCAGAAAATAGACAAAGATTGTCAGGTAGGATTTTAAATTTCTGCAATGGGCAGTTCTCACCGAGACCCGTCACCCCGACTCCACGTGAGAAGCACCGCCCGGACTCACCATGCGTGAATCTCAGTCCACGTGGGGCAGGCAGGTGTCCAGATGGGCAATGCCTGCTGGGAGCTCTACTGCCTGGAACATGGGATTCAGCCTGATGGGCAGATGCCCAGCGACAAAACCATTGGTGGGGGAGACGACTCCTTCACCACCTTCTTCTGTGAAACGGGAGCTGGGAAGCACGTGCCCCGGGCCGTATTTGTGGACCTGGAGCCCACAGTGATCGATGAGATCCGCAATGGCCCATACCGCCAGCTATTCCATCCAGAGCAGCTTATCACCGGCAAGGAGGACGCTGCTAACAACTATGCCCGTGGCCACTATACCATCGGCAAAGAGATCATCAACCCGGTGCTGGACCGGATCCGCAAGCTGTCCGACCAGTGCACAGGACTCCAGGGCTTCCTCGTCTTCCACAGCTTTGGTGGGGGCACGGGCTCGGGCTTCACCTCCCTGCTGATGGAGCGGCTCTCTGTGGACTACGGCAAGAAGTCCAAGCTGGAGTTCTCCATCTACCCAGCCCCCCAGGTCTCCACGGCCGTGGTCGAGCCCTACAACTCCATCCTGACCAACCACACCACCCTGGAGCACTCCGACTGCGCCTTCATGGTGGACAACGAGGCCATCTATGACATCGGCCGCAGCAACCTGGACATCGAGCGCCCCACCTACACCAACCTCAACCGCCTCATCAGCCAAATCGTGTCCTCCATCACGGCTTCCCTGCGCTTCGATGGAGCCCTCAATGTGGACCTGACTGAGTTCCAGACCAACCTGGTGCCCTACCCTCGCATCCACTTCCCCCTGGCCACCTATGCACCCGTCATCTCTGCTGAGAAGGCCTACCACGAGCAGCTGTCCGTGGCCGAGATCACCAACGCCTGCTTCGAGCCCGCCAACCAGATGGTGAAGTGCGACCCCCGCCATGGCAAGTACATGGCCTGCTGCCTGCTGTACCGTGGAGACGTGGTGCCCAAGGATGTCAACGCTGCCATCGCCGCCATCAAGACCAAGCGCAGTATCCAGTTTTTGGACTGGTGCCCGACGGGCTTTAAGGTTGGCATCAACTACCAGCCACCCACAACCGCCATCGCCGAGGCCTGGGCGTGCCTGGACCACAAGTTTGACCTGATGTACGCCAAGCGGGAGTTCGTGCACTGGTATGTGGGTGAGGGCATGGAAGAGGGCGAGTTCTCTGAGGCCCGAGAGGATATGGCTGCCCTGGAGAAGGATTACGAGGAGGTGGGCATCGACTCCTATGAGGACGAGGATGAAGGGGAAGAGTAGAGACCAGCTCCTGGAGTTCATTGCAAAATCCTTTTGAAATAAACAGTCTCCTTGCACGGTTTCTTGTAAAAAAAAAAAAAAAAAATTTCTGCCATGATGTTATTTAGAAAGTCATAAATACATTTCTAGAAAAACAATTTATCAAGACGTCATTGTGAAAATAGATAATATTTGAATTAAATTTGAATGAAAATAGTTCCATAAATTTTGCATGATTTCAGCAAAAGTAATATTAATAATAAATTGTATGATAGATGGACGAAGGGCTGATAAGACTGTTTGAAACAAAGAAAAGATAAGGAAGGAAATGAAGATTAAAAAATAAAAATAAATTCAGTAAAGGCAAAGTTTAGTGTTTCCTTAAGAAAAAAATGTTAAAGTTGGCAAGTATCTGGCAAAATTAATTGCAAAAACAAAAATTACTAAAATGAGAGAACATCATCATTACAGGTGCTATTGACACTAATCAGATAATAAACTTGTCAATGAAATGAGAAAATTCATGAAAAAATTTAACTCAAGACTAACTGAAGAATAAGTTGAAAGTATAAATATTTCTATAACCATCAAAGAAAACTAATTAATAGATCAAAGTTAACTTTACTAAGAGGTCTCCAAGCTCAAAAGGTTTTACTACCAAGTCCCATCAAGCATGTAATGATTCAACTCTTAGCCTACTCGATATAAAACTGACAAAAACAATTTTTAAAAAATAATTTTAGGCCACTATCATCCATGAACATATGTAATTATAAAGATGTCAGTTCTCTCAAAAGCAAAAGCAAAAAAAGATGTCAGTTCTCTCTAAATTAAGGCATACATTCAATGGAACTCCAATAAGTTTTCAAAAAGTTTTGTGTAGAAATGTAAAGGGTCAAGACTAGTCCAGACACTCTTAAAGCAAAAACACAGACAAGAGTACTAGCACTACCAAATGTTGACTTCTTCTAATCTGTGACACTGTGATAAGCAGAACAAATAGAAAATTCAGAAATTGACTCAATTATACATAGGTCCTTAAGACAAGACAAAGCTGCCATAGCAAAATCAGGAGAAAAAGATACTCCTTTCTACAAAGGATTCAGGAACCGTTGTATTTTCATAAGGGGAAAAAAATGAAATTAGACCTCTTCCTAAAACCATACTCAATATTCTAGATTGACCTAAATGTGAAAGGCAAATCTGTAAAGCTTTTAGAAGCGAAAAGATAAAAATCTCTACATGACCATAGGATAGAGAGAACAGTGGTAAATATTATATTACATTTTAGAACATTAATTCCTTCAAATAGACCGTAAGAGTGTAAAAAGGTAAGTTATAGAATAAACCATGATATTTAAACCACTTATATCCAACTGAGTGCTAATATTCAGAAAAGACCTTGTTTTTGTTTGTTTGTTTGTTTGTTTGTTTATAAATCATTTTATTGAGGGCTCTTACAACTCTTATAACAATCCATACTTCAATTGTATCGAGCACATTTGTACCTATGTTGCCATCATCATTTTCAAAGCACTTTTTTTCCACTTGAGCCCTTAATATCAGCTCCCCTTTTTTTCCTCCCCCACACCCCGGCACCATCCCACTAAAGACCTTGTTTTAACATCTACAAATCAATAAAAAAATTGACAGCCTGGGGATTGGGAAGGGGAAATAGCAAGAGACTGGAAGAGGAACATTGGGATCCGATTAGCTTACAAAAAGATAAAAAGGTGCACAGCCTAATTAGTAATCAGAGGAATGCAAATTAAAACCACAATGAAATACCAATATCTGCACATCTGTCAGATCAGTGAAAGTTTTTAGAGTCTAACAAATAGAAAGCGTCGGTGAGGATATAGAGCCACAGGAACTTACACAGCGCTGGAGGGAATGCAAATTGATACAACCATTCAGAAAACCATTTCCATTTACCTAGAAGAACAGAAGATGCACATACCCATGACACAGATTTTTCCACTTGTCAGTATGAATCCTAGAGAAATTCATGCACACATCTCCTAGGAGAAATATATAGGAATATTTCTTAGGAGTATTATTCATAATGAACCCAAATTGGGAACAACCCAATGTCCATCAGCAGTAAAGTAAATTAATAAAATCGTGGCATATTTTTAACGTAATTTTATGCAGTAATGAAAATGAATGAGATAGATGAGGTTTACAAAGCATTATATGGAGTAAAAGAAGCCAGACACAAAATTATATAAACTCATTATATGAGGCTCACAAACAGGCCAAATTAAACTACATTGTTTAGGAATGCAAAAGGAAAAGCCAAGACATGATAGCATGAAAATTAAGATAGAGACTTCTGGAAAGATAGTGACAGACAGATAAATTGCTGGCTAGCCTGATGCACTGCTGCTGTCTTGACCTTATGCAAGCAGCATAACATTGTGACATACTGGTCTGGCACTCTGGTGGCTGGCAACAAGAGAAGTGGAATCCTCCCTTGTTCTCCAGACCCTGCTGGTAACCAAAAGTATCCAGCAGCTGGTGACCCCCACCACACACACACACACACACACACACCATGCAGGTAGATGCTCCATCCAGAATCAGGCTCCTGATGTGCCACCCTGAGTCTGGAGATCTGTAAACTCTCCCTCATCAGACAGAAGAATATGCAGTCCTAGGTTCCTGGATGGGCAAGAACTCCTTCCATAACCAGTCACGCTGCCCCTACCTGCCCTCTGGACCCAAAATAATTCCTTCTGAGAACAAGCACCCTCCTGACCGCAGCCACCATCTGAGTCTGCACAAGTTACATCCAGACCAGATGCCTTGACCCAAAACAGCTTATAGGTTGGCAGGGACCCCACCTAGGACCTGGAATCCCACTCTCTCCCTCCTCGTCTTGGCTGCCAGAGTGCCAACTCACACCAGGTGCCCTGCCTTCCACTTTTCTCCTTTCTTTGTTCATTTGTTGTTGGTGGTGGTGGTTTGCTTGCTTGTTCATCCTTTTCTTTCTTTCCCCTTTTTGAATCCTTTATTTCTCTGCTTTTCCCTTCTCATCATTCTCTCTTCTTTTTCTATTCTTTACTTTTCTTAGTTTTTTACTTACAACTCTGTTTTCTTTTTTTCTTTTCCCCTACCCCAATTTCATTTATTGAATTTTTTTCTTATTTTTCTCTTCCCTTGTGTTTATTTTCCTTTCCTTTTTACTTTTTAGTTATTAAATTATTCTTAATTAAATTCTTGCTATTGTTTGCCTGCTGTCCCCTGCTTATTTGTTTTCCATTGTTAATTTCTTTTCTGAGGTTGTTTTGTGTTTTTTCTTGTCCGATATGATGGGAGACATCAACCATGCTCATATGACTCAGCCACACCCATGCCTCCTGCAGTCCCACCTACAGGGTGAGGGTCACCCCGACCACCTCATCATTAGTAGAGAACAGAACCAGCCAAACCTATCCTCAACTCCACTACACAAAGAGTGAACAGAAAATTGCACAAGCTCTCACATTTTCTATCACACTCATCAGGAGATAGATGGCGAGTGCCTAAGGTGTTACCAAAACACAATTATCAGTTAAATACAAATAAAACACCGCAATGTCTCGGAGACAGCAGATAATTTCAGGTCGCACGAAGAAATAAGACAGAATGTCTCAGACAAGTGACCAAAATACAAAGCCAAAAGACCTTTTGGAGGAAGAAATGGCACTGAAACTACCTATTAAGGAACTCAAAAGAATGATCTTTCGACTCCTTCAATAGATTAAGAGAAAGAATGAGAAAGCCGCAGGCAACATCAAAGAAAACCCAGGGAAAACATTAGAATAATTTGGAAAAGACGCAAGAACAAACAAAAAATCATCGGAAAAAAGTTAGAAACCTCACAAAAGCATCAAGTATCAATCCAATGGGTTGATACTAAGATTTCAGAAACAAATAATACACTTAAAGGCCAAGGGCATCGAATGATTCACTGGAAGGCTGAACCAGTGTGCCGGAAAGCCAATGTTTCCATTCTACTGTGCTAGAGCACAGGTTCCCTAACTTATTGGGCCACCCCATTGCCTTTTCAGGAAAAAAAAAGTTACCCATCACCCCTGACATTATCCAGGATTAATTGTCTGTATCTGCTTTTACAGCCTCACTGGATTATTCCAGTGACCCCCCTGGGGGTGCTATCATGCACTTTAGTAAACACTGTGTTAGAGGAGCAATCAGAAAAAAATTTAAAAGAATAAGAAAATACAACGAAAGCCTAAGAATTATGTGGGACATAATCATGAGGATTAATGTAAGTGTCATTAGAATTCTAGAACAGGAGACCAGAAAAAAAAGCACAGGAAAAAACTGACATGGTTATCATTGTATGATAGAAAACTTGATAAATCATCTCCCTGGACCATCAGGTAATTCTACTGATAGTAGCATTAATTTAGTCAATGTATGGAATTTAAAGCATTATTGAGAAAAGGAAATTATACAAGTATAGACCAACTTCAGACCACAGTGCCTGCATTGTTGACTTGTACATATTGAACGCAAGTGATTGGACACGGTTTACACAAACAATGGGGGTTGATGATAAGGCAAAACGTTCAAGAGCACTCATTCACAAAGGCAGAACCTAGCCCACCGGACTAACACATGTCATGAGAAAGCAAGGAGAGCTTCCTCATAACAGAGTAAATATAGAGTAGTCCTGGATCACCATTCATTAGGCAACCTCAAATCAGGAGATAACAAATCAAAGTCCAACAACTTCTAAATCCTTAATCTTGGCATAGCAATCATCTGTTTCTGCTCACACTAGGAGTTTCAGCCTTTAAGTCTAAGGGAGTATGTCAGTTCCTTACATCTTCCACGTGTGAGTTTGGGGTAAAGCCCAGTTCGCTTAGTGGGTTTCTAACATCAAATCCTTCTCCTGTGGCCCATGAAGAATGCTGTGTGCCTTAAACGGAGAGTATAAAGTCCCATTAGTCTACAGCACCCAGCCTGGGTCACCAATTCTGTTCCCTATGTTGTCTAATGGTTCTAAGACTTTTCAGCATGATGTTGATTAAGAGTGGGCATGGAGACAGCCTTGTCTAATTCCAGT